GACTGAATGTATCGGTTTTTCCATTTTAGTAACAAATATAAGTTAATTACCCATGAAAAAACTTTAAAAATTAGCCTTCATCATCCATTACATTATGAAGAAACAATATGATGAATGAATAGAATGTACTACATATAACATTTATATTATGTTGGTTGCGTTGTAAAAGTCTCACTAAAGTTGTTTAAGTATTTAGCATATTTAATTCTAGTGTTCTTTTTCTCTATTCTGTATTTAAGCAGAAACATGTGCACAAACAGAGCGAGTGAGAGAGAACAGAACATTTTCTAATACAAAGCTCAGGTCATCAACTTCACCATTAGCTCAGTTACATTAAAGTAAAAACACCAACCTCTCTGCAATTTGGAAAAGTCCATCTTTCCCCAGTGATTGTGCTTATTTTTTTCCCTTTTCTTTGGCAGTTGGAGACTGAAGGCAAGTCGTTGCCCAGAGGCTGAGCATGAAACACTCTCAACAACACTTTGATCACAGGGTGATGGCTCAGGTTATCTGATGGGAAGCTACTGCTCTCAAAACAATAGCTGTCAGACTCAGACCGACTGTAATCACTCTCAGACAGATTGATGGAATTTTTGCAAATAACTGCCATCTAACACGTTACAGTCAATCTAAATGATTAGAGAAAATCCAAAATAAATTAATGTGCGTCCAGTTCTTGTGTTTGTCAGGCATTAACGACGTGTGCTGTACAATCTGTACAAAAAACAGTTCAAAGAAATCATTAAAAGACCAAAAATACCGTGATATCCACGCCCATGATGAGTACACATAAACTTCTGATCACAACTGTAGCTGACAGAAGATAAGTCCAATAGTTCATTTTAGAGCCACAGCTGCATGCTTCTACTCCAGTTTGTTTGAGACAAGCTACTGGTTTTGATGAGCTACTCTGATCCATCACGGGTCAGAGGAAAAAAAAAAAATATCCAAACAGGATCTGAGGATTTTATCTTTGACACAGCTGACCTGGGACAAGGCTTTTCTTATTACAACAACATGTAATTAGTATCAAATATTTTTGGCAACTGTGCACATTTTAGCAAGGTGTTCCAGGACTGTTAGAGCTGTTTCAACATGTATTTTCTGCAGCTGGGACAACATGAATCACACTTGCAGTCCTATTGTGTCAAACTGGTCTGTTTTCAGCGCAGCACAAAGAAAAGTCACTCTTGGTTTTAACCAAACGGCTCTGTGACAAAACAAATAGACCAATTAAGGCTGAAGAGAACTGTTTTCTATATTCAAGCACAGTTCCAGTAATGCTCTGCACGAGAGTGAATAAACACACATGTTTCCGTTTACTCCATAAGGAGACACAGTCCTCCGAGTGAATACACATGGTGTGTATGCACGCTTTTATTTATGAGGTAAAAGATGGCCTGTCCAAGTCTGGAAAAAAACAGACCCACGCTATTTCTGGCTCCTGCAGCCTGCTGAGTGCTGAGATCATTATTTAGAACCAGCTGCAGAGTCGGCAGAGGAGATGTGGGTCAGAGGGGCAGGAGGACGACCAAGTCTTCATGAATCCCTGTTACCTTGGAACAGAGGCGGAGCAGCAAAGGCGCTCTAAGACATATAATGATGTCACTGTTCCAGTGGTTTTGACTGCCTCGTGCCACCACAGCACATACGCGCCCACACAACACACAATTACAGCTCAACCAAACAGCCGGTCTGCCCAGCAGGTGTGAACTCCAGCTGGATGTACAGTGCAGCCTGATTCTGTGTCCTCACATTCAGCTGTGAGAGGATTAGCAGCAGCTTTCCAAGAGTGACCAAACCACTGGTATTAACTGAAAACTTTGTTTCACTGGAAAAAAAATGGTGGTTAAAAACAGTCCAGAGCATGATTACCATTGATTGTGTCCACACTGGGTCACCAGGCCATATTTCCTATTACATTCCTAAACAAATCGTTAACAATGTTTTATCATTTCCTGGAGTGTTTACTCCAGTGTTCAGATTTAAACTTGGCTCATCTCAAAATCTCACACATGTCCAGCACTACTGCAGTTTTGATTTTGCAGAGGATGTAATCCAGCTTGACACATTTCTTCTTTAACGAACTGGATTATTTTGTATAAAGATCAAGGAAACATACTGACAGTACAAAATAACACGGCAGTGCTGACTGCGGGTCTCTGGAGAATCAGCCATCCTAATACTAAAGTGGGAGCAGCTCTGTGGGTGTGACTCTTACCCAGGGACGTTTCACTGTCGAGCATGTCTGAGTGAGAGAGAGCTGCCACTTTAACCTGCTGATGAAGCCACTGATGTGATGTTAGTGGCTTCATCAGCATGGCTGCAATGACAGCAACATTAACACACTTGTCTGGTCAATATTTCAATCCCAACACTCACATGCTGACACAGCCCAACAGCACAACTGTAAAATCAATAATAAGTGATAAAAACTTTACAGCAATATAGTGAATAAGACGCCACAAACACAATCTGGTTGCCTTTGACTGAAGTTAAATACTGATGGTAACCAAGAACACAGGCTGACTATAAGATAGACCGGTTGGGATTATAGCCTCCACACTGCAGAGCAGCAATAATCTAATAAACATCGCAAGTTATATCAACTGAAACCAAACCTCTATCACCACATTCTTCAAACTACATGTCAGATTAACTCGCTGATAGCTCCAACTCTCTCAAATGTGGATACAATATGCAAATTTTCTTGCAGCCTCACTTGCAGGAATAACTGTTCCAAATAAATATTTTTTTAATCTTGTACCGGGTCTCACTGAAGCCATTCAACTAATCTTCTCCGAAACAAACCGTTTCAGCTCCCTTCACTGGAGCCAGATTTCTTCTGAATGGCTGTCCCTTACAAACAAAGTTTGTACAGCAAGTGGATGGGTCTTCTGTGCTCACGACCAGAGCTGTGTGTCTAAGAAGACCTTGAAGACCTTCCACTTGTCAGTGACATCACACAGAGGCAAAACGTTCTGAAATTGAGTATTTAAAGCCTGAGCTTTAGACTCACAGAGATTACTTTTAAATAAACTGATTTCATTATTCAAAATGGTCAAAAACGTTGATATGAGCATCCACAGAAAAATGAGCTATCAGCCTGATTTTCCCAGGTGTCAGACTATGAGCAGCTCTCTCTGATGAATCTCAGTGGAACAAGAGCTGAGGGGCTCAAAGCACACCTTAGCAGTATTCCAGTGGTCACCTAATGGTGTTATATTAACATTATTGTTATTATTATTGTAATTCTTGTGTCTTACACAAGGTCCGCAATAATTAACTGACACATTTAGGGGAGTGCAAGGAGGAAAGCATGGAGGAGGTGTCCTGTTTAGAATCATTAGGACCTCATTACAGTTTAACACAGGGAGAAAGGCAGGAGAGAGGAGGAGAGGGACAGAAGGTAGTGGACTGTTAACATTTAATGACTGCTTATGGACGATCAGTACAAACAAACAGCCATTATGCATCTGTGTATTGAGCGTGTCCAGCCTCGCCACTGACTGAACGAAAGACTTCTGTTTCTACTGACTGTAGACAAATAGAGGCAGGCATTGTGTAACAGGATCGCGCCAAAGCCGGCCCCACTGGCACAAAGCGCTCTCTGTGGTTTCACAGGAACAGCCGTTGGCTTGAGGATGAGCCAGTGGGTCCCCTTCAGCCAGGAGGTCTCACATCAGAACTCAAAGTCTTGGACCGAGTGTTTTGGGAACACAACGGCAGATACACCCTGGGCCAAACCTGGATTTTCATACCAAGTCTTGGTTCTCTCTGGGCATCAGATTACAGCTGGGACAGTCAATGAGAGGACAAGAGATCTTTCATATATAGTCTGAATACTTAGCTAAGATTTGATTGCAACTAAATGATGTCACAGTGCATTGGTTTCTGGATACCACATTTAACTCTTTACCCCTTGGACACCTACCAGAGGACCAGTGGTCCTCTTTTTTTAAACTCAGATGTTTCTGTCATATTTCAAGCCTGCGGCCAGAATGAGCATCAGATGTTAGTGAGGGTGATCTCTGTCTACACAGTTTAATAGGGCTTGGAAAAAGCCTGGAACCTATTCTATTTAATGATATATACAGAGGTTTCAAAACTTCCTATTATGGCTACAGGTGAGATGATCACCAAATGGGAGCAAGAGTAATCTTTCTGGGGTCAAAAGTAACTATATCTGGACAAAAGCATGGGTACCAAATTATCAGCTAAGGATAGCAAGGCTGGTTAGTAGGCTGTAGTCATTAACTGTTAGGTAGGTAGATATAGAAAATTCACATGGCCATCGTAACATCACCAATATCCCCCTTTTTGAATGGTTTGTACCACAAAGTGGTCACCCCAGATAATTACATTAAAAATGCTCCAAAAGGCACCAACACTGGAAATCAATGAGAGAGGTCCAGGTTCACTCACGTCAATAATGGTGAAAGTAGTCTACAGTAGTTGACTTGGTTTCCTTCATGTGGCTACTACAGGAACTGCTGTTTTGTTGCACGCATTGGTTTCCTTTTTCCGCACCAACAACAAACATGTACTGAATCTTTTCAACAGACATGCCCCCAGAGGCAGACGGCAAAGAAAACAGGAGATGAACATTAGACCCATTACTTTTGCAGCTGCTCCTTTGATCTAGTTTGGTGAGCAAAGAGAGAAGCTCTGCAGGTGACTGTTTGAGTTTACCCAGAAAAGCTGGGTTGGTTTCAATGCAGTCAGGACAAGGTCAAACCACCAAGACACACCCAGAGCAGGCATGGGACGTGACTCACTATTGTTAATGTGGATTACCCAACCCACAACAAGCATCGCCGATCTAAAGAGTCTTGATGTGTTCCTGTTCAGTGCCCACTGAGGTGTGTTCTCTCGCCAGCTTTAGCTCAAACTACTCCTTCATGACAAGTACAGAAACTCCACAGAATCACATACAAGAATTACCCTAACATCACCCTGCAAGCACAATCCTCGAAGGAATATGTCGGAGGTCTTCCTACCTGAGCAGAGGATGCCTTTGTGTCGAGCACAGGAGAAGTCGTCGCACTCGCAGAAGCTGCCGTAGATCTTTCCAAACTCCGATTCATAGCACAGGCACTGGTTGCAGCTGCACTCGCCTCGTCCACTGCAGATCTGTTTGCCCTCGGATTCCCGGCAGGCGCTGAGAAACATGTTGCTTGTCTCACCCTCCTGGCATTCACAGCGGGCACCCAGGTAGCCAGGCTCACATTGGCAAGTCCCACAGTTATAAGTACCTGCAAGGAAAAGGTTTCTTTAACTTCACTTTTCCTTCATTTCTGTTACACACACACACAGTTACAGTCATGACTGCTGATATTAAACATAGTCAAAGTCAAATAATGAGGTCAGCATATGTACAACCAAAAGCTAAGACGGCTCCACAAACTGAGACTCCGAGTTCTTTTCTACTCTTGCTCTGTATAAGGTCAGTGAGAGCAGACGTTTTTAATGGTGGTCCCCATGGTCATCTCAGGCACACGGCTTTGGCTGTGAGAGCAGAAGTGCCACCGACCTGCTGTTGAAATGCACTGTGTGCGAGGAACTACTGCTAATCAGAGAAAGGTTAAAATTAAAGGAAAGTTTAAAAGCTAAAACAGCTTGTTTCAGAAAAGAATGAACAGAACAAGATATCTTAGGTATTACTTATATTAGTGAATGCAAAGCTACTAAAAATATGGAGCTGGAAATGAGCTTAAAGGGTCTACTTTTAAGTTATACTGAGGAATTATTTTGTCACATTTGAATGTTCGCTTGGATTTCCATTGATGTTCTTTGTTAGCTTACAGGCATTAGCATAAAGCAAACAATATATCAGAAACAACCAACTGGTCCCTGTGTTTTAACACCTGACGGTAAACATGCCTGACATCTGGGACCATCTTTACTGGTGTAACTGTCATAGCAATAACCAGTTACTCCCAAACATGCTAATGACAACTCACAATGTGTATAAACCAGGCTAGCCAAATCTGGTTTGGCCAAGCTAGCCACTGTAGCTGTGTTCTCCAAAATCATCAACTCACCTTCAGTTGTAAAGATTTGAGACTTCAGGAAGAATTGCTGCATCTAATGGGGACCGTAATAATTGTTTTTAAAATTAATAACAAGCTTTTCAAAAAACTGCTTCATTCTCTGGATTTTCATAGCACAGTTTGATTGGCTAATGACAGAAGTTAGCACATTCAAATAAACTTTATTTGCCTCATGCTTGTGATTGAAATGTTGAACACTTCTCACCTTCTCACCTATTTTTTGTGTGGTTCTGCAGATTATATGGGTTGGAGCAGGCAGTTCTGTAAGATGTATGCCAGATAAAGTTTGAGAGCAATTTGGATGAATGGCTTTAACCTCTAAGAGTGTTTCAGAAAGCAGCGCAGCAGTGGTTTCTCTGCATTTTGTGTTTTTTAATCTAACTAAAGAAAAGGCAGGACTGAATGTAAAAAGGGGTCATGTCCTTTTGGACTGATTCCCACATGTTCCTTCAAGCTTTAGTTTCCTGCAGCACGAATATGTTGGCCTGTACACTTTAGTTTACAGTAAACAACACTATCAGTCACATTTCCAAGTGGAGGAAGGGGAAGAAAAGATGAGCAGTTATTCTTCTTGGAAGTTTGGAAAAAAAACAAAAAAAACACAAAAACTCTTACATGATCAGCTGTTTGGGTTTATAAATGAAGATTTAAAAGTAGTAAATAAATATGAATTGTTAAAGTTATACCTATGGAGCTGCAGATGATGCTATTGTTTTGTGCATTCCGGCTGCAGCCGCAGTCACACTCGTAATCCACGGCCACTTCCAGGCGGTCTTTAAAGCCCACCGGCTTGATTGTGAATCTGCGGTCAGTCCCACGGGGAGGACAGCTTCTCGCCTCCACACTGACGTTAAAAGAGACCTTAAAAAACAGAGTGATGTTCTCAGAAAGGAAAGATACCACTACTGACAAACTGACCTGTTTACTCGCTCATGTTAGGTTCAAATGGTCAAATGTGCTTTTTTAAAACAGTAGCAGCCTCATGAGGCCTTATTTATCTCTGATATCTCTGCTCAGCTTTTGTTTCCTTATTCCCAAATGACCTGAACCCACCCTGCATCAAACACAGTCAGTTGCCAGCCAGCCAGCACATGACCCCGTGGTGTCACATTTACATCAGTGGGCTTGTTTCACTCCAGAGACGAATTTACATAGCTGAGTTGCACAGAAACTGGGACAGGATATCTACACCCATTTGATTGCTCTGAGGAAGGAAGTCTTGACAAGAGAAACCAAACCCCAGGCATGCCTTTATCATCAAACATAAGTCTGTTTTTCTGGCACTCTCCTGACAGTCTGCTCAGTGTAAAGTTCAATTTTCTCTGCGATTAAAATTGTGCTGTTGACAAGAGTTTTTTTGGACTTAAATGATCCAGAAACTGTACAAGTGTATGACAGAGTCTCATAAAGAGAAGCACAAAGTGGACAGTGATACGTGTTCTAGTGGTTTGGCTCTGTCCTTGAGTTCTGTGGAGCAGAAATAAAAACAAAGTTATGAGGTTAAACAGCCAGAGTTCAACAGTAATTGGCAGGTGTTCACATCCATATCAGATAAACACACCCTGCTGACTTTTACACTGATAGGCTAAGAGATTAGCGAGTCTGAAGTGCACACAGCTGCCAAAGAGAGAAGAGGGTTGGAAAATCTTAACTATTTTGTTTTTAAGATGAAAACTGACCAGAGGGGATGCAACATTTTCTGCTTCAAAGCTCTAACTAGAAGCACCTGAAAATTTGATGTCTCGCACAAAGAGAAATGCACCAATCCATTGCTCTGTCAGGCATGGGGGGAGCAAAGCGGTTGGGAGACTTTGGGAGGCATTCAACGCGTGCTACACCAGCAAGTGCTGTTTGCTTGCAGCAGCTTTGAGCAAACTGTGGTCAAGTGAGATGATGTCACGCTTGATGTTGCCTCGAAAGAATGATTCCTCTTCCTCAAAAGGGACAAAGCTGTATCATGATATTAGTATCATGACTCAATAAGTTGGATCATCTACACCCACCTCATGCAACTCCAGAAGTTCCAACACCACAAACACAATAAAGAGGTCAAGTTCAGTGACTCCAGGTGAAAAGGTGGGAGCTAACTTGATTAACAAAACACCTGTCAATCAAAGTGGCTTAAAGCTTTAAACATTAACAAATTCCAAATGGATGTGATGAAAAAACAAAACAAAAATTGTTATGAAGACATAAACCATTTACAGAGGCCACCAATGTTTTGGGGGGGAGAAAGTAGAAATTTACTCACTTTCAGAGGCAGCCTCAAAGTGGCCATCAGTTCAACTACAATTTATAGCATTTCCACTTTGGCTTAATTTATAACCCGGAAGGTTTCTGCTTGCATTAGCAGCCATAATCCAGTATGTGATATCCATACAGTTTTGGTTATTTATTTTTTTTAAATGTACACTTCTTGACAAAACACACATTCATATGCGTGTGTTTAATGGAATAATCTATTTAATGATTATTATGTTGCGTTTTAGCGAGCAAATAATAGTGTAGAAAGAAACAAGTGAAAACGGGTCTTCATATTAGAGACAGCAAACTAGATTCTGTCCAGAGTTGGCAAACGTTAGTTTTGGTAGTATCATGATGTTGAACGAAAAAGGATAACATCAGTGACATCTGCTACAGATAGCTACATAGCCAGTTCTGTGTGTTCCTTCACTTGTTTATGATGCTTGATAAAAAAGACGATATGACGCAGTACCATTGGGGAATGGCACCAGAGGAACGCTTGTCACATTAGTCCAGCATACAGGAAGAGAATACATCACATGTTGCCCAAAAAGCCCCTCCACTCTAACATTAACAAGTTAATGAGGAACACAATTAAATTTACTGTAAATGTGAGTCGCGAGGATGCCAGTTCACCCAGTCATGTGGCTTGTTAGGAGAACTATGAAGCTGAAATGGAAAATGGGCAAAAATGTGAGAGGAAGTCGTAGTAGGGCACTTTAGGAGAGATGGGTGCAGAAAGACCGAGCTCACTGAGAAAACTATGTAGCTGATCGTTTAATCAAATTCAAGGAGAGATGCAGGGAGTCAGAATGGGGAAGTGACAAAATTGTATCCAACAGTTTCACCAAGAATTTCTTCCTGGCAGAAAAACACGGCAGCGTTGCTGTGGATAGCTCTGTTTTGATGATGGAATTCTTATGACTGCCTGAATTCAGTTAAGTGGGATAAAAACAGTGGTTATGGTCAAACAAAACCACACATAACCAGGTTCAAATGCTTCTGCCTCATTTGGAAATAAATCTTTAAAGAACCCGTGGTATGTTAGCACAGACTTTCATTCATATGCATGAGCCCTTTCAATCCTGCAGTTGTGTGAATGAAACAGTGAAAACCATGCTCCTTTAACTATACTCCAGCTAGCATTTCTCCTGCTGCCAGCTTCGCTCTTTCATGCTGTGCAGTTTCACAGGCCTCCTCATGCCTACTTTTGTGCAAAGTCATTGAGATGCGACGACAAGCTCCGTCACAGACTCACAGGGTCCCAGTGACTGACACCTGGGCACTGGAATGGCCCATTCCCTCAGTAAAGACTGGGAAACGTAGCCCCAAGCAGAATAAGCTGCTACCCTTCATCTCCTTTCACTGCAAGGGACAAAAGACATGAGCAAGCCCCATCACCCAAGATCTCCCTTACATTCACTGTTTTGAGTTTTTTTTCCCCTGACACAATGACCCTAAACGGCTCCTCTGCTCATTCCCATCCCAAAACCTTCCTAGGAAAATAAAGTGGCCAAGAGAAGAGCACAGGGGGTTTTCAGAGAAGCATTCTACCCTGTTGAAGTCTCGCTGTGTGACGCATGTATCAAACTACCCCTCGCTAACATTTTCAAAAGATTCAGATCTCAATTGAGGCCTGTACAGAATACAAAGTGACTGCCACGAAGAGCCCAGTGCAAAACTCAAAGCAATTAAGATGTACTGTAACCACCTGTCACCTGAAAAGACCCCCAACTGCTAAAGGCAAGGCTGTGAAAAACACGTAAGTAACACCGAATGTTAAAGTGTAAGTGCATTAAAATTACTCTGTATGTTGTCACCAAACATACAAAAAAAACCCACCTTGGTTAACTCAGAATAAAAGATGGATGTAAATACTATAATGTCACAAACTGGTTCGTGGACTAACACAATGAAGTATTGAGGTTGGCATAACCAGATAGCTAAGTTTCAGCTAACCCAGTAGGACTGCTCAACCACCTCTCATAGACTATAAAGGTTAAACATACACCAGCTAAAAAATGCAAAGAAAAATATAGCAATAAATTACTGGAATTTCAAGCCGGGCCTGCTCGTGTCTTTTGTCCTTTGCAGTGAAAGGAGATGAAGGGTAGCAGCTTTGAAGTGGATCTAACATTGTACTCTGATACTTGGTGAATAAACTCCTGTGCGACGTGAGAACGTAATCAAACTGTTTAACTGAGGGAAAGTATGATTTTTAGGACCCTTGAGCCTAACATTAGCAAGCTTAATGTAAACTTATAACCAGCTGTTATTGTTGTTTAGCTGGTTCTTGTCAGCTGTCCAGAAACCAACAGTTGCATGATTAATCTGCAGGTAATCATGACATTGTTGGGAATATATGTGCATGTTTGAGGGCACTGAGCGCTCGAGTATAAAAGCTCTATATAAAAACCTTCCCTGCCACTGCATTTAAATATATATAATAATATAAATATATAGGGAAACTGTTTGCAGTTTCCACAAACCAGGGCTCAAAGGTATTGATTTACGAGTATGCATGAGTTTGTTGGAAGATTTAATTACACTCTATTCTTTGTATATTTATCAATATAATATATATTCTCTTTTTTTATTAAATAATCTTAAAATTGCTGATTGCACCTTTAAGATGAGTTAAGACTGAAAATAAAACTTCTCAATCTTAACAAACCTTTCAGTCTAGTACCTGCTACAGGGCATGCTGCAGCAGGTACTACAAGAAAATTCAGAAAGTCCAGTTTGAGTAAGAGACTGGTGAGCTGGGTTTTTGTTGCAGTACTACTGTTGGTCTGAACACAGGATAGAGACGGGGATGAACCATAATGTGTTTCCCACAGCTATATCCACTGTGAACTGAATCAAGTCTCAATTCCAACTCACAGGAAGTCACCCCAAGAGGGTCCCACTGTGCGTTTTCTTGTTTGCTTAGGTGTTGACAGGAATTATTAATATCACTTTGGCCAGAATAGAATACGTTTGCACAACTTGGCATTGCTGTGTACTCAGATTTATTATTATTTCAGCAAGTAACCTTCACAATCACCTGATCTCACTAACTGAACTGCAGTGCACCTGCTGAAGTTTAAACTAAAGGCAGAGGCCGTAGGTGTTGAGACGTCTGCAGTGGAACCTGAGAAGAAACTACCAGGTAGGACGCAAAGAGTGTGCTGATGCTGCCTCTGGCTGAACGCATTCAGGCAGGAACTCAGTGCAAGTATGACCCATCAAGTATTAAATATGATGATTTTAGGGTGATTGTGTCCTCCATTTTGAAAAGAATTAGATTTTTTAATTGACAAAAAACATAAAAATACAATACTGGCACTTGAAACCTTAACATCCACTATTTTGTTTCAGGCTGAGTACCAAAAACCATTAAGAACCAAAACATGCACACGATCCTAGACAGCCTCCTAGATACTATAACACACTGGAAATGATATACTTCAACAAACAAACAAATTTGCCAGCAGTGACCTTTTCCAATACATGAACCAAAATGAATGTTTTCCATTCCATCAGAGCTGCATGTTGCTGCACAGAATTTGATCCCTGGCAGAAGCAGTCAGGGACTTTTTTAGGTTGTGTTTAACTTCGTGAACTGTGTCACATTAAGCTGAAGTGTGCTGAAAAGAAGTATACTTTCGTAGATGGCATTTTTATGTAGTTGTTTGCGGTTTGTCGATTTTATTTTGGAAAATCTTAAGTTGGGCTATGACCTACTTTCAACAAAAATAACAGTACTCAGTCATTTTAAGTGGCTCTGGACAGTTAACTACATGCTGTAGCTCAGGAGCAAGAGCAGGTCATCTACTGATGAGGCTGGTGGTTCAATCCCTGGCTCCCCCTAGTCTGCATGCCAAATATCCTTGCATCAATTGGAGTATGAGAGTGTGTGAATGGGTTAGTTGGAAAGCACTTTGAAAAAAGAAAAGAAAAGCATAGAAGATAGTGCTTGTGTGAATGTGGCGTATAAGAATCAGTCCATTTACCTGTCCGTGCAGATAAATACCAGTCAAAACTGAACAAAACAAAACAAAAAAAGAAATATAAAGTTTAGTAACTTTGACCCTAAAATATGTTTTGCAAGCTTTTTCCCCCTCTTGAACCTCCATCTTTGGGGTTGCTGAACTCTCCCATTGATTTCAGTTCAGGACTGACTGATGTGTCTCTCTCTATAATACTCTGACACCAGCAACTTTAAATAAATACTTTGAAAATCATTAATTTTTGTGCAATGTCTTATATTCTCAAACACTGTTTCCATCTATCCTCCATTTTGCTACAAGCTCCACAGATTAGGGATCACGTTTGTGCACAAATATGGATATTCTTGCAGTTTTTTCATGTGGACGATATTAACCTCCCAAGACCCGAACTCTTTCATGGCATGCATTTTTAATTTCTCTTTGCTATTTGGTCGGACTGGGACCAGATGAATGTAAAAACGAATTATCTTTTTACCTGATTTTGCTCTACAAGGGTCTGATATCCACATATGAGGACATTTGTTTAAAATTTCAATAGAACAGTGGCAGTATAATGTCCTCGTAAGAGATATCAGGCCCTTGTAGAGCAAAATTTTGTATTGTAGTCTAGACAACCCAAAATGTGATGTCCACATATGCTGACGCCGGGTCCTAGGAGGTTAAAGTTCATTTGCCATATGATATGCACAATCAATATCAATAACATCGCTGTTTAAACTCTCCTCCTCCCTACTTTTATCATTTGCTTTTAAGTAATTTTGGTGCTGTAAACATCACTTTCCCAGCTGAGATAGTAATCGGCACTTCCCAACTGAACTTCCAGAATAAAACAAAAATGAAAACAGGATGTGAGTCGTGAGTTTGGGCCTGTGCCTAGACTGAAAAATATAGATTAGGTGTGCCATGATATGTACACCCAATCATGTGACCGCGACTTCTAGATGTTTACGCCCAACAGCAGCAGAGATGCTTTAAAAAACAAACAAACAAAAAAACAAACAAAAACGAATTCAGATATAGCAAAAGCAGCTCAGAGATCTAAATCAAAACCTTCATGTGTTTGACAATCCACTATATTCCGAGCACCACTCAGTATGTACACTGATCTAAAGACCCAGCTGAATTGTGAAGGGCCGACACAACAGCAAGCAAGTGGTGAAACACTTATCTGCAACTTCACCTTCAAAATAAGACTAAGGGCTTTGCAGTTTTTTTGGTTCCCATAGATGGAGAAAAATAAAAAGACTTGAAATGTCTGAATAATTTGCGTTATTGTTGTAACTGTGCAGCTCTGCCCAAGTAACATCTACGCATTGGGCAATCTTCAAAAACAGGCATCCAATGGAGAAAAAGCAATCGCTTCTCTCTTTAAACTCTTAAAACCACAGATTGAATTTCATAATCCAAGAGAATAAAAGCGTGTGAGCGAGCACTCAGACGTTTTCTGGGCCAGCAGGACACATGAAACATTTATAACATGAGGTAAGCGTGGAGAAGAACTCACAGTGTCTCCTATCTTCAGGTCAGCACACTTCCTGAGGCCTGGCAGTGGGTTTCCATCCTGACAGGTGGCAGTGAAGGAAAGGCTGAGGTCCTCTGGGTGGTCCCACACTGACAGTTCTACTTTAGAACGGATGCTCTAAGGAGAACACAGCCAGGAGAGTTCAGTCATGTGGTAATAAACCCAGGGTTTAAAACAGAAACTTTTAAGGTCAAGTAAAATAAGCCATCAACAGCAGGACTTTTAGCACTTTTAACAATAGTTGAGCATCTAAGTGGAAAACCGAGTGAAACAGGAGGAAAGCATTTCTCTGGTTAGACACTGTTTTATAGCCAATCTCACCACAACCTCAAGTGCTGTGCGTGGATGCAGGGGACAAGATATACCACAGCTGCCTCTGCGGAACATGTGCACACTCAGTTTGCAGTTGTTCATTCAGCGCTGCAATGCAATAGTGCCAGGAACAAATCAGGAGAGTTCTTTGGTGCACATGGATAAGCATGACTACATTCGACCCTTCCCTTTCTCTCTTTCTCGCACACTTGCACTTTCATCACCCTTAACACAATCACAGCAGGAAGCAGCTTTGTCCCTCAGTCAGACCTGAGGAGGAACCTCACGGCGCTTGGAAAAGCCCGTCCATCGATCAAACCTCAGAGGTGGATATAACGTGGCAGCTGGAATGTTAACGGGCCCCGAGTTAAAAGCGCTTCATTCAGCATTGCTTCTACACACTGAGCATGTCAAGTGTGCATTTGACACAACTTTCTGCCACTTAGAATGTACTGACTCAGCCAAGAGAAAAGAAAAATCTGTCTCCCCCACACATAAAAATATTTAGGGAAAGCTTTCCAGCATGAGGTGCAGTTTTCTGGTTTCAGAAAGCTGTTTGTTTAATAAGAAGCAATCAGATGGCTGTGGCTCCAGTTTAGGAGCGAGGCACAGGGAGTTAAGACATGGTTGGCTTTAAATAAAAAGGCCACGGAGGAAGCACGATGTGCATTTCAGTATCAGTGTAGCCCTCGCTGCCATCACAGCTCCACAAAGCAGTTTTTATCCAGATTCGTACGTCAACCAAACTAAGTTTAAACTAAGTAATAGAATGATGTTATAGGAATCTTGTTTTTTGTAAATTTACTACGGTACGCTTTTATTATTTTGCTGTTCTGTCGACCTTTGAGGGTTTACACTGTAATTTACATGATTTATCTAATATAATCATTTTTTAAACATTTTTTCGGGAATCGGTCAGGTAATGCATTCTACCTTTATTAAGATTTTGGATCCCTGTGAAAATTCATGTGTCAAAATCAGCTGTTAAAAACATGAATGTATCACTGCTCCCCACCAAAAGCAAAACCCTTTATGTCATTATTTGACTCTCTTTCACTCCCACCAGCGGGAAAGCAGATGCTCAGCTGCACAGATTTGCATTACTCACATTGTAGGCTGCGATAATCAGCTGGATGACATTCTTGGAATCCTGATCAAGGATTTCTACTGTGGTCCCTGGGATGAGTGCAGTAAAATCCTTTGGGGGGGGGAAAAAAAAAAAACAGGAGGCACCACTGATGGTTTAAGATTTTAAATACTGTTAGAATGTGTGATCTTTAGCTTGTATAGACAAAAATTCAGAGTACCTTGTAGATCACGTACAGCCTTTTTGTCACAGCAAAGATGAGGAAGATGTTGTTTTCTGACAGTTTCTCCCCGAGAAGAGCCAGAGAAGGATAGTCCTGGAATAAGAGAGAAGGATTTGGAGTGTGCAAGGCAACTCTATATGTACAGAGTATAGTTCACTATGAAACAGCATCAAAAAGTCTTAAGGGGTCAACAAACCAGAGCTACAAATAAACGATTTCCACTTTAAATGGAAGCGAGTGCCTTTCACATGATTTTGATCCATGTTTACATCATTAGTCTTCTGGCATCAACAGAAATCCTTAATGAACTTGTGTCTGAAAGCCTGTCTGTGCGCAGTTTTACCAAATATAAGAAACGAATCCACTGATGCCAGAAGGATAATGCATCTCATACCAATACTGCTCTTCATTAGCGGTTATTTGAACAAGGATGCTTAAAATCCAACAAACAAAAAAAAACAACAACAACACCACCACCACCACACATCTCTACATGCTCCTGTAAAAGCTTCCAGGTGTGAATGTGTATTTGGACCATTCACGGGCTCTTGTCATTAATAAGCATTTCACTGTGATTACCTGCTTACCTGAGAACTTAGTGAATTACTTATTTACTGAATTAGTTAGAAAAAAAAAGTAGTACTCAAATCTAGTAATGTAGTGTGGCTAAAAGCTGGGTGGAGACAGAAGGCCATGAAAAGGGAAGCAAACTATCCTAAAAGCCTTGAAAGTATGCAGGATGTTCATCAAGTCATATTTTTTTTGCCTTTCAGTGACCAAATGCTGCAAATTCCAGCATCTGTTCACGGGTGGGCTTTGCAGTGAAAAGCACCTGACGTTTACTGAACACCAGCAATATGAACCACAATACAGAAGATTCCTGAACCCTGAATACTACTTTGTATTTTCAGTCTTCTTACCATCTTTGTGGAAGCGCTGTACTCGTTGTTGTCATTGAGGTGACACTGTCCATCGTGGGGATGGACAAGACCACCGAGCCTGCCGTCCAGAGCGAGGTGAGGTACATCGTCCGTGGCGAACACCAGCAGGTGAAAGGCCTCTTTCCTCCAGCCTATTTTTTCCTGTAGATGGGAGGAGTAAGTTAATGGAGCTAATTCTGGCTGCAAAAAACAAATACCAGCATCCTAATCGCCAACATCATTAGAACCAAGCAGCAGCTTCCAAGGCTGAAAAAGAAACCAACCCAGAAATGTTGAAAAGTGCCATTCCTCTTTTTTTTTTTTTTTTTTTTTTTTTGGCAAT